TTAGAAAAGAGATGTCGGTGCAGTCCAAACCGGAACACTGTTCGGTAATTGGGTCATATCTGGAGCTGTAAATCTCAGATTTAGGTCTACTTTATATGGATGGAAAGCTAAGACATAGGCCTACAACTTTTATGTGGAGTTCAAGATCTAAAAAGGTCATTTTCAAGTCCAACTTGTAGCAACAACAAAGAAGTCCGAATTTGTCTTCCAGCCCGAGCACTATTCCTCCAAGGTGAGATTAATACAAGAGAGTAAAAGAACATTATAATTGAAAAATCAATAATATAAAGAATCCACAAGGATTAACCCATTTAATATTTAATATTTAAATTTGATAAAAATATTTCCATCATCTTTTCTAAACTTTTGATGCATTGTGAAGGTAACGTTGTAATATGATGAGTAGTTTCATACTATTCTCACGATGGTTGAGTTAGAACTTCGACCAATGAACCTATGTTATATTCAATTACTACTCATAATTATTAAACTCGACCTATCTGAATTTGTTAAAAAACCTACCTATACAATAACCTGACGAAACTCGGTCGATCCATGACCCGAGCAAACTCAAATAAGACCCTTTTTTTATATTTTTTTACTGGTTATGAACACTATTTAAAATTCACTATATAAATATTAGAAAAATGTTTTATCTTTTCAATATGAGATTTAAAACCCTTTAGTATATATACTTTATGTTTCAAAAAAAATTATTTTTTTAATATGGAATAAAATTTTTTTGGTTTAAATACTTCAACTTAAAAGGATAAAATAATATCTTTTTAATATGGGATTTAAAACCCTTAATATATATATATATATACTGTATGTTTTCAAGAAAGAAATTATTTTTTCAATGTGGAATTTGAAATACTTTCGTATATATACTTTATGCTCACAAGAAAAATATTATGTTTTTTCAATGTGAAATAAAAAAAAACATTTTTGTTTAAATACTTCAACTTAAAAGGATAACATAGTATCTTTTTAATATGGGATTTAAAACCCTTTAATATATATACTCTATGTTCCTAAATTTTTTTTTTTCAATGTGGGATTTGAAGCCCTTTCGTGTATATATTCTATGTTCACAAGAAAGAAGATATGTTTTTTTCAATGTGGGATAAAAAAATTTAGTTTAAATATTTCAATTTAAAATGATAACATAATATCTTTTCAATATGGGATTTAAAGCCCTTTAATATATATACTTTATATTCACAAAAAAATTTATGTTTTTTCAATATGGGATACAAAAATATTTTTGGTTTAAATACTTCAACTTAAAAGGATAACATATTATCTTTTCAATGTGGAATAAATTTTTTTTTAAAATATTCTTTTAAACTTTAGTATTTACAATATGTATAGCTTATATTTACATAATCTTTTTCTTATGAAATATTAAAATTTTAAATATTTTTTTAAATTTTTCCAGGTTGACCCATGAAACCCGAAACCCAGCATCTTGACCAGGTCAACCCCCTTGTTGGGTTTGATAACTATGGTAGCACTAACTCGTAATCCAAGTAGCACTAGCCTCCTATGGTGTCTCCGGTTTTAAAAGATCGCATGAGACTAACTTTTGATAGATTAAATGACGGAATTGAGAGCAAAATAAATTACTAAAACATTTCTGACTTATTAAAAACATAAACATATAAAAAGCTTAAAAACTAAAACAATTATAACTTTTTATATAAAAATCAACTATATTCATGTTCGGATAATATGAAAAGATCATATTCTAAACCTTAAAACCATACATGATAAACATAATTTCTCATGCTGCAAAGAGATGCAAATTGAAGCTCAAAGTTAGTGCACATATTAATAGTAAATAATATCAAGAACTTTATTAATTAAAATTGTCAACTCAAACTCAAATAGTCCAATAAAAAACACTAATATGACATGTTCTATTATCACCACAATAAAGAGCTAAGTCAACCTTGTTAAAAGTGTATGAAATATCTAGCTGTGCATGTAGCTTAATCTTATAGATATTTTCACCAATTACTTTTAGAATATTAAATGGACTATAAACCCGAGGATTGAGCTTAGAAAAGTTACCTTGTAAAAACCTTCACTTGGTGTGATGCACCCAAATTAGATAATCCTTTTTGAACTCTATATATTTATGATGCTTATTAGCTTGAACTTGATACTTCTGATTTTTTCTTTTAATCTTGTCACATACTGGTTCATGTTTATTAAATTGTTTGGCCATTTTTTAGCATCACACTAAAATTCTGACTTTTTAGAAGTAGAATAAGTCCAATAAACTCAATAGATTGTAACCATACGTAACTTGAAATAAACTAAAACTAGTAGTTTGGTAATATAATGGTTACAACAAATTCAGCTTGTGACAAAATTAGATCACAATCCTTAATCTTTTTCTTCACCAAATTTCTTAAACTATGATTGACAACTTCAATTCAGTTAGTAGATGACACATA